TTTAGTTGCCAAATATTTGGGAATTTTCTAGGTATATTTCGATTATTGATTTCTCATTTAATTCCCTTTGGTCAGAGTAGTACATACTTTTTATGACTTGAATTCTTTCAAGACATGTCGAATGGCTCAGAATTTGGTCTGTCTGGGTAAATGTTCCATGTGCCCCTGAAAAGAATGTATATGTTGCTGCAGTTGACAAGATAGTTAGTGGTTTGTCTAGTTCTTGAAGTTCTATCAGTTTTTGCTTATGTATTTTGAATCTCTGTTACTAGGTACGCAAACATTTAGAATAGTTATGTTCGCTTCATGAATTAACCTCCTTATTATGAAATGACCCTCTATCTTTGGTAGTATTTTTTGCTGTGAAATCTAATTTATTTGATATTAATTGAGCCATTCTAGCTTTCCTTTAAAAAGTTTTTTTATTGATTTTTAGAGAGAGAGGAAGGGAGAGAGAGAGAAAACCATCGATGTGGGAGCAAAACATCAATTAGTTGCCTCCTGCCCTCTACTGGGGATCTAGCCTGAAACCCAGGCATGTGCCCTGACCTGGAATCTAACCAGCAGCCTTTCAGGGCACAGGACAACACTCAGCCAACTGAGCCACATGGGCCAGAGCTAGCTTCCTTTTGATGAGCGTCAACATGGTTTATCTTTTCATCCTTTAAATTTTTAAACAGCTGTATTTTAACAGCTTCACTTATTTCTATAATTCACATAAGTATACAATTCAGTGGCTTTTGGTACATTCACAGTTGTGTAATGGTCACGACAACCCATGTTAGATACCCCGCACCCCTTAGCTTTCACGTGTTTCACCCTCCCAACTCCATTCCCAGCCCAGGGCACCACTAATCCATTTTCTGTCTCTGTAGGTTTGCCTGTTTTGGACATTTCATATAAATGGACTCGTGCAATATATGGTCCTTTGTGACTGCTTTTTTCACTTAGAAGAGTATTTTCAAAGTTCATGTATGTTGTACCATGTATCAGTACTTCATTTCTTTTTACAACCAACTAATACTCAATTTTGTGGATAGACCATATTTTATTTATCCATTCATCAGTTGGTGGATATTTGGGTTTCCACTTTTTGGCTATTACAGACATTTTTATATAGTAAATGTTTGTGTGGATGTGTATTATTATTTCTCTTGGACCTCTACCTAGGAGTGGAATTGCAGGGTCCCTTGGTAATTGTATATTTAACTTTTTGAGGAACTATTATTCAGCTTCACCAGTGAATGAGCTCCAGTCTTTCCAAATCTTCACCAGCACTTATTTTCAATTTTTAAAAATTATAGCTTTTCTATGAGTGTGAAGTGCAATCTCATTGTGGTTTTGACTTGCATTTCCCTATTGTCTACTGGTGTTGAGAGTCTTTTCATATGCTTTTTGGCCATTTGTTCATCTTTTTTTGAGAAGTGTCTATTCAAGTCCTGTCTGTTTTTAAATTGGGTTATCTTTTTATTTTTGAGTTATAGGAGTTCTTTATATGTTCTAGATACTAGACCCTTATAAAAATATGACTTAAAATACTTTTATTGTGTAAGTTGTCTTTTCACTTGATAGTCTCCTTTTATACACAGATTTTTAAAATTTTGATGAAGTCCAGTTTATTTTTTTCTTTTGTTGCTCATGCTTTTAGTGTCACATGTAAGAGCCTATTGTCAGCAAGGTCATGAATATTTTATCTCTGTTTTTTCCTGAGCTTTGTAGTTTTAGATCTCAAAATTAGTTCTTTGATCCATTTTGAGTTAATTTATGTATGTGATGTATATGATCCAACTTCACTACTTTGCACATGGATTTCCATTTGTCCCAGCACCATTTGTTGAAAAATTCTTTCATCATTTAATTATCTTTGTGTCCTTGTCAAAATCAATTAATCACACATATGAGGGTTTACTTCTAGACTCTTCTGTTCCATTGGTATCTATTGTCTATTCTTATGCCAGCACCATACTGTTTATCACTGGAGCCGCATATCAGTTTAGAAATTGAGAATCTGAGGCCTGTCATTTTGTTCTTTTTCAATATTGTTTTAGCTGTTCTGGCCCCTTGCAATTCCATATGAATTTTCATTTGTGCAAAAATAGGCCATTGGAATTTTGATAAAGGTTGTATTGAATCTCCGGTTAATTATCTTTTAAAGGGATTTAAGTAATAAGAAAAATAAATCTTATATTTACGCACATCGACGACTCCTTGTCAGTCTAGTTCTCCATCTGGTACTGTTTGTTTGTTTGTTTTGCCTGAAGGATTTCATTTAACATCTTGTAATTCAGGTCTGTTGGTGATAAAATCTTTCAGCTTTTGTATGTTTGAAGTCTTTATTTCACCTCTGTTTGTGAGCACTTGTCACTGCGTGTAGCACTCTGGTGAATCAGCTTTTTGTTTTGTGTTTTCCAAGTTGTTGTTCCACTGTCTCTAGGCTTGTAAGAAACCTGCTGTCATTATAAGGCTGTTGGCTTCTTTATAAGGAGTGCTCTTTTCCTCTGGCTGGTTTTATTATTTTCTCTGCATTACTTTAAACAGTTTTGTGGTATGTCGTGGTGTAGTTTTCTTCATATTTCTTGTGCTTGGGAGTTGATGAGATGCTAGTGTTTGAGGATTTATAGTTTCCATCAAATTTGGAAAATTTTCTGTCTTCACCTCACCCCTCAGGACTCTGGATACCTGTGCATTAAGTCCCACCCTTGAAGTCCCACAGCTCATTCACGTTGTTTGGTATTTTAGTCTTTTTTCTGTTTCATTCTGGGTTAGTCTTTGTTTCTTGCAGTTTCCTCATCTTTTCGTCTGTATCACGCAGTCTGTTGTTAATCCCATCCAGTGCCCCTTTCATCTGACACGTCCCTCCATTTTCTGTACTTTGGCTTCCTGAGCATGTGGAGTCCGTCCTGCCCTGCATCTCAGATCTGTCACTGTGTCTCAGGTCTCCATGTCATTGCTGGGCTGCTCCCTTGCCCCTTTGTGGGCCGTGTGACCTGTGATGGGGTGCTGGGCACTGATTGGGAGATGGTGCTGTTATTCCGGTGTGTGTTCTCGAGCTTCTTTCTGGGATATAGTTGGATCCTTTCATGTTTTGCCCTAAGTTTTGTTGGTTGGGACTGAGAGGATTTACCTGGCTTTACTTTGGCCAGGGACTGTGGAGTGATGCAATGATTCCCCGTCATGCTGGTGGCACTTTTCCAGCCTTGGTGGCTCACCTACAGGCTTGCACTCACCGTCCCCAGCTGAGACTCAGGGCTCCTCGCTCTGCAGGTCTGCTGCCATCACTGCTTGTCCACTGTCTTTCAGTGCTGCCCCATCCTCTCAGGCCGCCTAGCCGCCTCGCACTCCTCCTGCTTCGCGGCTGGAGTTCCTTCTGGGCGGGGCCAGGACTGTCATGGAGCTCACCTGTGCCCTGCCTCTCACTACCTGGTTTCCAGTGACTTGAAAACTGTTGCTCAGTCACATCAACTTCCCAGTTATTTTTAGTTTCTCCACATAGGTAGGTCAGTCCCTGTTACAACGTCTCTCTGGCAGGTGGTACTAGTCTCCATCTCCACTGTCTTTGAAAAGCTACCTGGGTGTTCAGAAGGCCCCTGGCTTGGAGCTGGAGCTGGCCTGGCTAAAATTCAGACTGAAGCTGGCAGTCCTGGACTCAGGTGTGTGTGCATCGCAGAGTTCAGCTGCTCACCTCTGGAGAGCCTCTGTGGGTGACTTGAATCCTCATGAGATGTCCACATTTTTGCTTAAGATTCATGAGTGTGTTCTGCTCTGTTCACCCTGTTAGGCTTGTCTGGAGGTTTGGAGAGACACCGTGAGCTGGCCGATGCTCTCCTGCACTTCTGGGAGCCCATAGGCTCTGGCAGGCCCAGGGCTGGTGTGCAGCCCAGGTTGGGGGAGCCACCCAGGATTTGGCAGGTCCTGCGTAGACATGATTTGTGCCTTGGGCTCTCCCTGACCAGGATGGAGGAGGAGGAGGACAGCAGCAGAAGTCACAGGGCTGAGCTGACTTGGTCTGAAAATAAACCAGCGTCTTCACAGAACAGCTCGTTTGGTGGCTTGGGACAGATGAGCAAGACCTGCCCTCAGGAAGGCAAGCTGCTTCCCTGAGCAGACCCTACTTCATTTAGCCAGTCTCCCTCACTGCAGAGAAACAAGACATTTTCTGCATTTTGATTTTTTATATTAGAAACACTCCTGCCTAATAACATCTTATACATAGCTTTGCACATTTTCCCAAGGGTTTTCGGGGACTGTTCCTGGACTTCATATTAGTCTATTATATCAGTCTGGTCATATTGACATGTTAGCCTAGATGCTCATAGTAAATGAGTGAAAATCTTCCTATTCTCTCGGGAAATAAAGGCATTAATTTCCTTGCTATTCAGGAGCCCTGTAAAGAGACAGGGTCTCCCCTCCTCCCCTGAGGTCTGCATGGGGCAGCCAGTAGAAAGGGGGCACTGGGGAGGACACACAACATTGGCTCGTGGGAGTCCTGTCTTGGCTACTGGGATGTATAGGGTAGGAGGGAAGGAGAAGCAGAGGTACTTCTTGGGGGCTTGGCCGCTTGCCTAGGGGGAGGCCCTAGGTTGCCCAAGACTCTGGAAGCCCCAACTGGCTTCAAACTCTGGCCTAGTTACTCTCACCCACAGGGACTCCTCCCTGAGCCCCCTCCTGGCCCCACTATGACCCTTCTTCTCTCACAGCTCCAAAGCCCTCCCTGGGTCTGGGGTGATGGCATCCTCTCCCTTAACAATTATAGCTCTATGCCCAGGTGCTGGGCAGGCAGGTGGAGTCTCTCCATTCAGGCACATGTGGTGGCCTTTTGGCTAGTTCTGACTATCCTGGTTCATGCTTATGCAGGCCTGGGCCCCCTTGGGCATAGGTGTCACCAAGGATGAGTGGACAGATCTAGAGTCAGTCCCTCACCTGCACCCCATGTTCGGCTCCATGCGTACTTGTAGGAGTGCTGGCCGGGCTTACTCTCTTGGTATCTCTTCTCCATGCAGGCATTTGGACAGGTGCACACGAACCATAGGAAGGTGGCTGCAGACGGTGAGAGCCGGGAGGAGAGTCTGATCCAGGAGTCGGCCTCCAAGGAGCAGTACTACGAGCGCAAGGTGCTGGAGCTACAGACGGAACTGAAGCAGCTGCGCAATGTGCTTACCAACGCACAGTCGGAGAGCGAGCGTCTAGCCTCAGTGGCACAGGAGCTGAAGGAGGTACCTTGGGCTGGGCAGGCTGCCCTGTGGGTGAGGAGATAGCCCCTGTGTGCCCGGGGGTGGGGGCCACACCACCAGTCATCCCACCTGCTCATCCCCAGTCTCATGTGGTCCAGGGCTGGTAAGTGTACTGGCTTTGCTTGAGCTGATATGAATCCTGGGTCTCAGGGGCTGCTTGTTCCTCAGATGAAAAGTGGGACTATAGCATCCACCTGCCAGCTTGTGACGAAGAAGTCAGAAGGGGTCACTGCAAGTGGCACCAATGACCAGCTTGATCCCTGATAGGACCTGGCTGTGAGAGGCCTGGCTGAGTGGAAAGCTGAGGGCAAGTGGCCAGTGAGCTCTGAGGGAGGTGGGAAGGTGGGCCACTGACTCCAAAATGGAGTTGGACAGGGATAGTAGGTACAGCTGGGAGTCTTTGTGAGCTGCAGTCCTACTGTGGCGTTGGTGCCCCTAGTCCTCAGAGCCCAGAGTTCTCAGGAAGGGAAAGGGGCTTGTTCTGGGCCACAGAGAGGCACACTCTCTGTTTTCCTGGGAGGGGAATGACAGATGACCAGACGGGCAGATGGTTCTGAGTGCCGGATGGCTCTGAGATTCACACCTCAGACATGAGGGTCCCACCAGGCTGGGAGCAGACACTGGCAAGGTTTTGGACAGAGCCCAGAGCCAGCAGTAGTGAGGCCCAGTCACTCTAACCTCTTCTGGTTCATTTGGGTCAGAGGTTGTTGAGGCCTGTGAGCCTGAGAGGAGCTTGGCTAGATCTGGGGGTGGGAAGCCCTTGGAGGTAGAGGCCTGGAGCTGGAATGTGTGATTTCATTTCCTCCCAAAGGATTGTCCTGGTTGGGGTGGGGAGGAAGGGCTGTTGGGGTGAGAAGTTGACCTCCTCACTGCCTAGCTCAGGTTCATTCTGCCTCTTCCCTCTTGCAGAGGGGCTCTCCTGGGCCGTGAGGAGAGTGGTGGGATCTGCTGACTTCTGGCTTTGGGTGCCAGGAAGTGAGCTCAGCCAGTCCCACAGAGTATTAAAGAGCATGTCTGGTGGTGCCAGGATCCCTGCTAGTCCTGTTAGTGCTTCAGGAGAAAGCCTGCCGCTCCCGACACATCTTCAGCCACCTCTTTCTCCCGAGGCACATCCCGTGTCCCCAAAGTCCTTGCGGGGCAGGCCATGTAGAGCCTTCCTGGCTTCCTGTTTGGGGAGGAGACTCCCTACTGTCACCAGCTTGGACCAGATCCCTGGTTCAAGTTTCTTCTATTGCTGGCTCCCTTCATACCCCGCTCTCATCCCTCTCCAACTCCCATCCCTCTCCTGTGGCTCTTCCACCAGTCCTGGTCCTGCTGCTTCTGCCCGAGCTTCTGTGCCAAGCTCCTTTGTGGCCTCTGGCAAGACAGTCCCCCTCCTGCACAAGGCTTGTGCCCAAGGCTCAGGCCTGGCTGAGGAGCCTGAACAAGAGGACACAGCACCAAGCTCTGTCCCCAGTGAACACCAACCTGCTGCTGCTTCAGGATAACCTGGTTGCACAGGTCTTGCAGGGTCACCCCGTGAGATGCCCCTTTCACGAGTGCCCAGTCCTGACCTGTCTTTGTTCAGTGACTGGTGAGCTGGCCTCTCCATCCTCCTTGTGACAGCTGGTGTAGATATCTATAGCCCCATGCCCGGCTCACCTGGAGGGCCCTGCAGCTTAGGGTCCTGACTTCTGCACTGTGTGTAGACAGGCCAGGTAGCTTCTGTCCTGAGACATGGCTTTGAGCTCCATTTTGTAGGTAGAGAAGTAGAGTCCCAGGAAACCAGGCATGTCTGCAGCCAGCTGGAGGCAGTCACATCCTGTGCATACGCTGGGTGCTGGCCTTGAGAAGCAGGACCAAGTGGGGACCCCTTGGTGATCTTCCTGTCCTGGTGGCCCTTACACCCTGGTGTTGCTGTTCTGATGGACCCTTTGTGTCTTGGGCCCAGTGCAGCCCCAGGAGTGAGTGACAGGGATGTCTCAGCAGCAGTGCCCTCTAGTCCATACCAGGAGGCAGGAAAGGGCTTATTTTCTTTTGTGGTGGCACCAGAACCAGCTGGAAGGAAGCTGGTGTTTGGTCACAAGCTGAGGTGTGTGGTGGGTCAGGAGCAGCAGTGCCAGGTGCTAGGTGAACTCTGCAGCGTGGGGTAGATGCCAAGGTCCAGATCCAGGCGATAAAAGTTGCGGGGCTGTCATGTCGGTGGACAGTCCGGGGGCAAGAGGGGGAGATCTGGATATGGAAGAGACAGCAGGAGTGGTCCCGCAGGGGTGGATGGAGGAGCTGTGGGGCTCTTATGGTTCCTGAGGGAACTAACCCCATGAAGAAACACACACTCCTCCAGGGAGCAGGGCTGGACCTGAGTTGCTCAGGTGTACCATCCAGCAGCCTCCTAGGAGATCAGGGGAGTTGGTGAGAGAGAGTCCACAGCGGTTAGGGTGGATGCCCCTGCCTGGGCAGCCTGCACAGGGTAAGCTCACTGCGCTCCCAGCCTATAAAATTGCACAGGAAAAACATTCACCTTCCCAGACACCCAGGAAAGGAGGCCCCCAGCCCCAGGCAGATGCACCTGCCGCCCCCACCCTGTTCCCCTCAGAGGCTGACAGCTGCCCCCGTGGGCACTGGGCCTTCCCAGGAGCTGGGTTCTGGTTTATTACGTTTACTAAATGTTTATGAAGTATGGCTGGTCATACATGCCTCGTGGCTGCAGTGTGTGCAGCAGAGCTCTGCAACTTCTATATCCCTGCAGAGCCGCATTCCCTGGCCTGTCCTGGGACTCTGGTCAGACTGGCATCAGTGTCTGCCTCAGGACCTCGGGTGCAGCCTGGGGGGTCACTCATCACCGCCCTGGAACCTGGTAGGAGAATAAGGGCAGGAAGTGCTGCTGGGGGCCCAGGCCCATGGGGTCAGGGGGAGCGAGCCCCGTCTGTGGGACCACTGCTCCAGCCTTGCACCACACTGCCTGTCTGGCTTGTGTGGTTATCACAGGCATCTGCATGAGGCTGGTTCCCAGGTTCCCTTCTCTGATGCTCCCACCTGTTCCTTGTGTCTTTGCTTTCCTCAGCCCCCGCCTTACATGTTCTGGGACCTGGCACCCCACCATGGTCCTCAGTCCTTCTAGGGTGGACAGGGAGAGTGAGTGGATGCCTGGCCAGAGGACCAAGGCTTATCTTGGTCTGGGTCCTGCCCTTGTGATCTGCTGGTGCCTCCCACCCTAAAGCCACTTCTCTGATGGTCCCAGAATGGCCATTCCCTCTGGTGTGCCTCCCCTGTGCGTCTTCCTCCGTGACCTCTATGTGGTTTCCTCATTGAAGGGGAGTGTCTGTCCCACCTCCCTCTTGACACCTGAGAGACTATGGTGTGAGTGTGCTTGGTAGATGGTGTACAGGCTCTGAGGGGTGCAGGAGAGGGTGGCTGACACCATCAGGTGCCTGCTGGACCCCTGAAGCCAGCATTGTAGTCACTTTTTTTTAACCAACAAGTAACCTGAGGCTAGGATTCCCTTGGGAAAGAGGAGCTAAGATGGGACCCCACTTGCCCACCTTTTTTCTCCATCAGGCTGCCATTGATAGGCTCAGCTGGGAGAAGGTGCTCACCTTGGGGAGTGCCACACTCCATGGTGGCCAGTTGGAGCTTGTTTGAACCCACAGAGATGGGGTGTGTGTCGGGTGGAGGTGCCTATGGTGTGGGGTGGAAGCTCGGTCACTATGGGAACTAAGGTGCAGGCCTGTAAGTCCAGCATATGGTACCTTCCCCTAATGGGAGGTGTCCAAGGCCAGCTTGTGACCTGGGTGTGCCTCGCCTCACTGCACACAGGGCCCACCTGCAGGCCTGGGAATGGAGTGAGGCAGGTTAGGACTCTTGGGGCTCTGGGGACCCGCACAGGCCCTGCCCCAGGTATGTCTGCCCCAGTTCTGAGTTGGGAAGGTCACGTTTGCCCTGGCCACATGGGAAGCTACTCTGAGTTTCTCCACAGCCTGGAAGTCCTTTTAGTCCTGGTGCAGAGGCCTGTGGGGAACTGGTGGGTTTCAGACCTTCCCCTCAGCTTCCACTCTTCCACGTGGCCATGTCAGGGGTGCACCTGTGCTGGGGTACTTCCTGAATGCCAGGTGCCGTGACTTAGCAAGGAGACAGGGAGTACGGGACCAGACCTTTGGTAGAGGATGAGCACACCCCTGCCTGGGTGTTCACAGGAAGCTGGAGGCCCTGTGCGTGGCCGTAGGCGAGAGACTCATAGCACAGTCTGCTGAGAGCAGTGGGGACCAGTGAGGGGCTCCAGCAGCGTTTAGGCAGCGGAGGGACAGTATAAGACTAGAGAGCAAAGCCAATTGTGTGAGCATCCCCCGGCTGGCAGGAGGGGACGACTAGCTCAGCAAACCGGCTGTTCATGGCTGCTCTGTGGCCACAGTGGGGTGGAATGGTGCCCTGGATGGACGTGTGCAAAGGCCACAGCTTCCCTGCCAGGTTTCCTCACTCACCACAGTCTTTGGACCCTGCAAGGTGCCCCAGGTGTGGCAGCTGCACTGGGGCAGTGGCCTTCACAGGCTCCTCTCAGCCTCCTGTGTCCTCCTGACAGCCCACCTAGCTCGTCACCCCACACCCATTCTGAATCAGTCTGAGCTCTCCTCACAGCTAGTTCCTCCTGCTTCTCTAGGTGTGGGCCCATTCCGTGACAGCACATTGTCCATAAAGATGGCAGATGACTCCGTGAGAGCGTAGTAGCCATGTGGGTGAGGCTACCCTGCAAGGGTGGGAGGTGCCAAGCAGGACTGCCTGGAGTCATGTCCCTTGCTCCTTGGCAGCTTTCAAGTGGGGGCAACCATACCACCCTATCCATGAGAGGTGGGGTGTCTGAAGAGGTGCTGACAGCGCTGGGGGTTCCTCTGGCCTTTCCCCTTAACCCTGGCATAACTGCCCACGCTCCCATTTAACTGTCCAGGTCATCTGGATACTCCCTTATCTGACTCCAACTTCCAGGGGGACAAGACCAAAATCTGTGTTCG